TGAGAGGTAGTCCGATGTAGAATCTCATTGGCCTAAATCAAGAAATGAAGGGCTTTCTTTCTTTATTTTGGTTGTTTCAGAACCTCTATTTTTGTGCGAAGTGATTATCTAGCATTTCCATTTTGCCTGAGCAGCTCCGTGGCTTTAGATTAAAAGGTAAATAAATGTGTTAATATAGATATAGGTACTTGGCAATTTCATTCTTTTGGTTGATAAGAATTTAATGCATGCAATTCTATTTAAATCTCCCCGGGAAATGGTGTACTGGAAGTAAAATAATGTGAGGTAATAGGGCAGCAAAGCAAAACATCTATTTCCTGGATAATGCTTCTCACAGGACTATAATAACCAATAGGGGAATAGAACAGGTTGAAGAAGATACAGCGGTGAGAAAGCTCCAGCTTGAAAGGAGCAGTCCCGCTTATGATACATAGATTTTTATCATTTGTTCAGCTATTGATGACTCTACAATTAGCTCGGATCTCACCAGCAGTGCTCGTCAAAACACCAATTTGGCCCATCTTCACCATTGCGAAAGCAAATTTACTTTTCCAGAGTAATGAACTCCTAGCATTTTGTGTTACTTGGATAGCTGTAGTTGGATTTGTGAGAAGAGTTTGATCGGAGGTAAACAAGCCCCTGTTAGCCAGAATATCGGTGTAGTAACCTACATCAGTGATGTCTGGGCTTGCAGGGTTCATTGGCACCACCAAACTTGTGTCCGTGCTGCCTTGTGGACATTGCTGCTTCAACTGAGCTGCATAGCCAGGATCTAGACTAGGATCCTGGCTTGTTGTTGAGTTGAAGTTGTATAGCCTGCTGGTGAAGGACCCACAATGAGATCGACCAATCGTGTGTGCTCCTAGACATCAAAGATCCCAAGATTCTTCTTATGGATTAGAAATTTCACAATCTTTTTCGTTTCTTTGTTTGGTAGTAACAATTAACAAGTTTATATACATTGTCAGTGTAAAAGATTTTTTATACTACACTGCTACTTACCGGAGAGGGTTACCATTTCTTCTTGGGTGAGTCCCATATTTTTGAAGTTTTGGGTGAGCTGGTCAACGTTGAATGCAGGAGACGGCAAATTTCTTGTCTCAGAAGCTAATGAGATTCTGCCATCTCTTCTACCTGCTGGAACGGCATAGCCAAACCCTCTAGTCTGCAGGAATTTTAAGCGTGCAAGTAATTAAATACACCTTGGTAGTGTATGTTTAATAAAGCTAATTGGCCTGATTAACTTTAGTACTTACGATCTCTACGCTATCCCTAGCTGCAAAAGCGACTATATCAGCACAAGAAACAACTCCTCGACAAACAGATTCCAACCTCGCCTTTGCACTGTCAATGACTTCAAAACCTCGAAGGCTCGGATTATTTGCTGGTGAGTCCTTCTCTGCTGTGTTTGATGGAGTTGAGTCGATTAGCACTGATCCATCACAACCCTATTATAATGCCAGAACCAAAAAGTTAACAAAGTACAGAGTTACTAGTCAATATGCTGGATGTATAATGTCTTTGGCCCTTCTTATATGGTTTTTAATCTCGTCAATGGGAAACAACTTCAAAAATAACGTAAAACTCACTACTCTATATACAGAGTGCATTTATGATGAGAACTGTGTGATTTTGTGATCTCATCTTACGTTTAAACTTCATGATGAGATGATCACGTACTAGTATGGTTGCAGAGAGTAGGTAGAATTGTCACTTATTATCGGATAGTAGAATTTTTACGTGGTTGACTCATAAAAGATAATAACTCAGGCATGCATGTAAAGAGATATGTAAATGACATAATATATTCAATAAAAGCGTGCTATAATACCATAAGAACAGTATAACTATCTAAACTAAAAGCATAATGAGATGGTCACACACTTTTGACCCATGAAAGGCTATTGGAAAACTGACTTACCCTAACAAAACAATCATGGAAATGCATGCGAACAAGGCCAGCAGCCACTCCCCTATCTTTAATAAACGCTTTTGTAACTTCTTGTTTCACTATGAACTCAACCATACTACACGAACTACCATAAAATCCCACTTGAAGTTGTGCTTCTAACATTATGCACTCACATAGAACCACGAATATTAGTGCTGCCCACACACCGCTCATTAACATTCTTGCACTCATTTTCCTTAAGACCTTAGTACAAACTTCTTTGTTTCCTAGTGAGCTTGAGTAGCTTCAACCACGATGTCAATATATAGGGACAACACGTTGATATCAAATGGACCTGATGTTAACTTATCTTTACTAATACACTATTATTAATCTCGCTGGTAAAATCCATATTTTAGTGCATGGTGAGAAGGCAGTAAGCTGTAACCTTGTATTCGAGAGCAAAGATGCATAATGTTTTGGAAGGAAAAAGACAACTGGATTTGGTTGATTGACTATGATTGCACGTATATATATTTGAACTAAACTGTCTTTTAGGGTTTATGTAGGAACAAAACAAGCTTGAGTCAGCCAGTCCATTTTTATTGACTTTTTTGCATGAAAAAACAAAGTGTAGTGGTTAGACATTGATTAACTCTAGATTTCTGCTAATTAATGGATTGTTTTTGCAAGTGGGTCTTTTCTTTTCTTTAGTTCTTTCTTTCATCAAATATTATTAATCATTGAGTTACGTAAACAACAAAGACTTGCCGAAGACAGGAAACGAGTCGAAGGGTTTTACAAAGTGTATATGAGATCTTATTGGACCCGTGACTTGGGAGATTTTTGTAGATTTTAACACGATATCTATTGAATAAGTTGGCAATGATGGTTTTGAAATAAAATTTAAATCAAGGTAATATCACAAGCATCTAGTATTGAGAACTATCTGCGGTTTCTATCGTATAAATGACAAGATGATTAATTCAATTAGGATCCAGCTTGCACATAATGTGAGGTGTCCTTATCAAGAGTTACTGTTTGTAAAAGCAATCTTAACCAAACAAAAAAAAATACTAGTATTGCATTAAAAGCTGTACGTACAAGCAATCAGACACTACGGAGAAAATGTACATACAACTTATTATATGCATATTATTTAATCTTTGTATGTTAACCTCCCTACTATAATTTCGTTATCATTTTATCACCGAACCGAATGGCTTCTTGTTTTTGCTATTTCTTCACGACACAGCTAAATACCCTTCTTTGATCAGTCAATTAGCATGGCATTCTTTCCGAATTTAATCAAGAATAGGTCAAAAGAGCTACCCTAACGCAATGTTTTTTTTAATTTTTTTTTTTAATTATATCAGGGGTGGGGAGGGGGAAAAGGGAAGGGAAGGCTACGCTACTGATGGATTTAATATTGCACACCTAAACTGTGGAAAGGTGACAACTCACTAAGTGAGCTAGCCCTCAACCCTAAGATCGAGGCAATGTCTAACTTGGAGGCTTAAGCATATTAAAATTCATCTTAAAAGCATGTATATATTTAAAATTTTCTCATATTAACTGAAAACTAAAGTTTGTAAAAAATAAGAAATGTTTTTCTTTTATTTCCTTTTACAAGAAAATATTCTCAAATATAAGGAGTAAGTGTTGTGCAGCAAAAGGGAAACAAAGAAAAGGACCCCTTGTATGCGGATGCCAGCTGAATATTACAATACCTACAGTGCCAATATATCTAGAATACACAATGAGCCTCAAAGTTTTAAGTTTCAATTGAAGAGTAAAATACTATACGAGTACAACTCAGCACATCTCTACGAAAACTTGTGCACATTTTGCACTTTAAAATACATGTATTTTATAGCTTAATATATAATTAATCAATTCAAAGACAAATGGGTTCGTGGTAGAGAAACCTTCGAAAAAATATAACTTTGTTATACAATATTAAAAATCAACTTGCGACAGAAAGTATTGTTTGAGAAAAAAATTCTTAAAGAAACACTATTATCGTTATTAACATATTCTATCATGTTTAACCAAAAAAATAAAATCATGACAAGAAATTAATTGTACTACTCTGCTTTACTGCGAAATTTTCTGGCACGAATCCAGATTTAATCGAGACACAATGCAGGTACCAGACATAGGGTGGGAAACAAAGAAGAGGAACTGTATAGTCATTAGTCAACAATACGATTTGTCCTCTTTTTGAGTGATACTCTAAAGAACTTGAGAGATCTATTTTCAATTTCTTTGGAGTAAAGGATTCAGGAGGTTCTTCCAAAGGTCTTTTTCCTAGGGCTTTTTGTCCTAGAGGATGAGAATGATCTGAGAGTTCTGCCTGAGATGAGGCAAAGTCTTCTAAGTGGTCGGACCTTAGGTCTACTTGTTCTGGAGGCTGGGAAGAAGGTTTTGCTATGGAGTGAGTACTTTTTCCGGTGTAGTCTGAGGGACTTTTAGAGTGTTTAGCCATGGAAGAAACTGGTTGAAGAGAGTTTCGGAGAGGTTTTCTAGGCTATGGGAACAATGGAGATTGGAAGAGGGTTTCAGAGATTAAAAGAAGGGGTTTCTGACGATTGGTTACAGGAAAGGAAGGGGTGTCAGTTGAACAGGCGTGATGATTGATTTTCCTTTCTTGAATGCTGCAACTGATGTGAAAAGAGAAGAAAAGAGAGGGAATTCGGAGGCTCTATTAATGACTATGAAAAGACAAAGTTTAAACATTAGGCATACAAAACATAAAAACATCACATAGGTCCTAATATTAATGATCAATGGAAATAATACCAAGTAATTCTCTTAAAAAGCAAAATCTGTCTTCAAGTAAAGGTTTAGTAAAAATATCTACTAATTGATCAGTAGTTCCAATAAAAGATAATTCTATATTTCCCTTAAGAACATGATCTCTAATGAAATGATGCTTGATGTCTATATGCTTTGCCCTCGAGTGATGCACAAGATTTTTTGAGAGACATATAGCGCTAGAGTTATCACAGAAAATTGAAATGGGTTTAAAGAATAGTTCATAGTCACCCAATTGATGAGACATCCATAGTAATTGTGCACAATATTGTCCAATGGCGATATACCCAGCCTAAGTTGTGGATAGTGCAAATGATCCTTGCTTTTTACTATTCCAAGATATCAGTGCTTTTCCAAGTAATTGACATGTTCCGCTGGTGCTTTTTCTATCTTCCTTATCACCTGTAAGATCAGCATCTGAAAAATCTTCTAGTTTAAAATTGTTAAAGCGTGGATACCATAATCCGTGAGAAATAGTTCCAATGAGATATCGAATAATTCTCTTTACTGCAGTCAGATGTGATTCTTTAGGAGCTGACTGAAACTTGGCACATTTACAAACACTAAACATAATATCTAATCGACTAGCAGTTAGATAAAGAAGGGAGCCAATCATTCCACGATATTTAGTTCCATCAACAGGATTTACCTGTTCATCTTTGTTAAGACTTGTTGAAGGACTCATTGGTGTGCCAATAGATTTAGCATTACTCATAACGAACTTCTGAATCAACTCCTTTATGTATTTTGTCTGACATATAAATGTTCATTCTTCAGATTGTTGAATTTGAAGTCCAAGAAAGAACGTTAGTTCTCCCATCATACTCATTTCAAACTCACTTTGCATAAGATTTAAAAATTCCTTGCACATAAGAGGATTAGCACTACCAAAAATAATATCATCAATGTAAACTTGAATAATGAGATTACCTTCCGATGATCTTTTAATAAAAATGGTAGTGTCTACTTTACCTCTTGTAAATTCGTGATCAATAAGAAATGAGTTGAGTCTTTCGTACCATGCTCGTGGAGCTTGTTTAAGTCTACACAATGCTTTGGTCAATTTGTACACATGACAAGAAAACTTTGAATCTTCAATTCCAGGGGGCTGTTTTACATATACCTCCTCCTCAATGAAACTATTTAAAAAGGCACTTTTGACATCCATCTGGAAGAGCCTAAATCTTTTAAAGGATGCGTATGCAAGAAGAATTCATATTGATTCCAGTCGAGCTACTGGAGCAAAGGTTTCGTCGTAGTCGACTCCTTCCTGTTGTGAGTATCCTTGAGCTACTAATATGGCTTTGTTTCTCACAACCTTTCCATCCTCATTTAGCTTATTTCTGAAAACCCATTTTGTTCCAATTATAAGAGCGTTTTCAGGCTTAGGCAGCAGTTTCCACACTTGATTTTTGTCAAATTGATCTAGCTCTTCCTGCATTGCTTGTAACCAACTTGAGTATTTCATAGCTTCCGCTATTTTATTTGGTTCAATCTAGGAAATCAGTGCTATGTTTGCTTTCTTCTTGAGAGCTCCCCTGGCTTTCATTCCTTCGCTTGGGTCTCCTATGATAAACTTTTGAGGATATTCTGGTTCACCTCTCCATTTATTTGGACGAATTGTACTTGTATGAGTATTTGACTCCTTCGGAGATTCTGATTGACTGTTGCTAATCTCATTAGTTGACTCCATTACACCATCAGGTTTATTAGTCGACTCTTGAGATTTGCTTGTCTCCTGAATTTTTTGAATTTGATCTTCATCACCTGCAACAGTTCCTTTCTCGGCCGAAGTGTTATTTTCATCAAAGATATCATGTACTGATTCTTCTACACACAGTGTGCGTTTATTATAGACTCTAAAGTATCTACTATTTAATGAATAACCCAGAAAAATACCTTCGTCACTTCTTGCATCGAATTTTCCAAGATTGTCCTTACCATTATTGTGAATGAAGCACTTGCTTCCAAACGGATGAAAGTAACTTATACTGGGTCGTTTACCTTTCCACAATTCATAAGGAGTCTTCTTCAGGATTGGTCTTATGAGGCATCGATTGAGAATGTGACATGTTGTACTTACTCCTTTTGCCTAGAAGTGATTTGGCAACGAATATTCTAGTATCATAGTTCTTGCCATATCTTGTAAAGTCTTATTTTTTTGCTCGAAAACTACATTCTGTTGGGGTGACCTTGGAGCAGAGAAATTGTGGGTGTATCCTTGATCATTGCAGAAATCTTCAAATGCTCTGCTTTCAGATTCTCCTCCATGATCACTTAGAATTGTTGTAATAAGATACCCCTTTTCTCTTTCGACCTTTTTACATAAGATCTCAAAATTTTTCAAAGCGTTATCTTTGTGATATAGAAAAATCATCCAAGTAAAGCGTGAGTAATCATCAACAATAACAAAGGCATATCATTTTCCTCCTATGCTAGCAGTTCTAGTGGGTCCAAATAAGTCCATATGAAGCAATTGCAAGGGCTTTGAAGTAGATACAATATCTTTATTTTTTAAAGAGTTTCTAGTTTGTTTAGCAATCTGACATGCATCACATACATGATTTCTAGAGAAATTGAGTTCAGGTAAACCAATAACTAAATCATGCTTGGAAAGTTTCTCTATCAGATGCATGCTTGCATGACCGAGTTTCTTATGCCATAACCATGGATCATCAGATATGGATGTTAAACAAATATGACCATCTATATTTTCAAAACCATCAAGAATATATACATTTTCATAACTTTTACCTGGGAGGATTATTTTACCTGTCTTATCTTCAATAGCACAACATGTTTTCTTGAACTTTACTTCATACCCTGAGTCGCATAGCTGACTTATACTAAGAAGATTGTAGTTAAGTCTGTCAACAAGATAAACCTTAGTGATATCACAATTATTATTGAAAGGAACTGTTCCGGTACCGACTATTTTTCCTTTTGAGTCATCACCAAATTTGACACTTCCTCCATCTATTTTTGTAACTTCTTTAAACAGGTTTTTGTCACCTGTCATGTGATTGGAATACGCATTATCTAAGTACCATTTTCCTTTGCAACTCCTTCTGTGGTGTTCCTGCAAAACATAATTATCACTTCCTTTTAGGTACCCAAGCTTGCTTGGGTCCTTGTTGATTAGTATTACTGGACTCAGGATTGTTTTTGGGTTTCTAAATCCATCATGAGTCATTTGATTTACGAAATCGACAAAAAGAATATTTATGTCCACTTTTGTTACAGTAGTGACACGTAAGTCCTAATCCATTTTTGGATCTTTCATTTGTGTTATTACTAGTGGACTCTGTTCTGGCTGGTCCTTCTCCAGTTGACTTGTAAGTCGCTTGGTTCGACTTGACAGAACTATGACTGGTGGATTTGCGCAAGCCATTGAGTTGCATTTGCAATTCCTGAAACTCATCTTGAAGTACTTTTTCAATTTTGCATACTTCAAGCTTGAGTTTCCAGTCTTTTACTTCTTTGTTGAGTCTCTTTAGTTCATTCATCATTTTTTGAGACTCTTTCAAAGTAAGGTCAAGAATATCCTGCAATTCATTATATCTTTCACAGTTATAAGATCTTACCTTGCTTGTTTCACCTCGCGCCATGAAACAGTTCTCATTGTCATCTGAAGTGTCCTCATCTGTCCAGCACCCTGAGAGTTTGTTCATGTCGTTTTCCAGAATTGTCATGAAACATAGATTTGCTATCTCTTCGTGTTCTGAACTGTCTTCATCACTCCAGCTTCCAAATGATTTGTTCTTATTAAAACCTCTGGAAACCTTTCTTTTAAGATCATGACACTCAGCTTGAACATGTCCAAATCTTCCACACTCATAGCATTTGCCATCATTTTTGTCTTGTTCGTTTTATTGCCTAGTTCGCCTAGGTGGTATCCTGCCTCTTCTTGTATTCCTATATATCCTCATTAAACTATCCATGTTCCTTGATACCATGGCAATTTCTTCTTGAAGAGCTTCAGGGTCGTCATCAATATCATTGTCTGCTCTTTCAGTTGTAGCCTTGAAAGCAACTGTTTTCTTCTTTTCTTCTCGGTTTGTTTTCTTGAGATGAGTTTTCTCGAAGGCTATAAGTTCTCCTCGAAGTTCATAGTATGATAATTTGTTCAAATCCAGTGATTCAAGTGTAAACACTTTTGTCTGCCAAGTAGTGGTTAGACTTCTTAAAATTTTTCTAACTTGATCACCACTTGAGTATGGTTTGCCAAAAGCTTTTAGATCACTAATGATTTTACTAAATCTGGCAAACATCTCTTCAATGTATTCTCCTTCTTTCATATGGAAGAGTTCGTAGTCATGAACCAACATGTTGATATGGGTTTCTTTCACTTTACTGGTTCCTTCATAAGTAACTTCAAGTTTATCCCACATCTCTTTGGCTGTATCGCAACTGGAGATTTTTCTATATTCCTCACCACTTATAGCATTATAAAGCAGATTCCTTGCTTTAGCATTAACTTGCACAACTGCCATTTGTTCATCAGTATATTCATCTATATTTTCAGGATCAACAGGTGGTTGAGCAGCAGCCGGCAAAGGATAGTTCCCCTTTTGGATAACTCGCCAGACCTTGACATCATAAGACTTTGCGTATATTTCCATACGCATATTTTAGTGAGAGAAATGTTATCCATTAAAATATGGTGGCCTTACTTGCGATGTTCCTTCTTGGAAGAGTGCTCCGACAATAACTTGATTAGCCATGATCTTTTCTCACAAGCTGTTAAGCAAAAGAAAAATGTAAGCCTTGCTCTCATACCAATTGAAAGTACGGGGGGAGGGGAGGGGATTGCTTATTTTAAAATTAATTATTATAGGTTGACTGATTTTCCAATTAGTCGACTAGATGTAATAGCGAGATAATAAGAAGTGCAAAATTAAAATGCAGAAGTAAAGTGCAGGAATTAAAGACATTAGAGCTTTTATACTGGTTCGGATTCAATGTGAATCCTAGTCCAGTCCCCTTGGGTTGCAAGAGAGTTCTCTTTCAGTGATTGAGTTTCTTAAGTACAAACTGAATGGTGTAGTTTACACCAACAGCTCAATTTCTATGTCACTCGTCTTTTCTTGATACAATGCCTCACCAGTATTTTTCTCTTTTTCTTCTCTAACTTATTACATAGCAGATCTAGTAGAGCTACAATATTTGTTTGAAGTAGAATAAAGAGAGGGTAATTGGTTTGATCAAAGTATGTCTCTCTAAGACTTAAGGTTGCGTATAAATACTTTGTAGGAGACTGTTACTGAAGAGATTTGCCAACCCAAGAGATTTAATTCTTGGAAAGAAATTGATTCTTTCCAAAAATAAGGTTAATTCTCGTTACTCTTCCTTGATGTGTGGACTTTGACAACTTTTCATTTTTAAGTCTTGATAGTGCCGGATTTACTCCTTAATTCTGGGTCCTTCCAATAATAGCTACTGATTGATTATCTTGTCGGATCTTCAATGCTTCTTTTCCTTTTTAACTCTTTAATCAATCTCGGATTGATTATCTCGCCGGATCGTCAGTACTTCTTTTCCTTTTGAATGCTTCAATCAATCTTTGATTGATTTCTTCCTTCACCTTTGATTGTTTCTCTTTGTGCACTTCGATCTTGGTTGATTTCCTTGAATCCCTGCACCAAAAGCAATTATATTATTTTTCATCATTAAAACTAAAACTTAATAATGACCAATATGCACACAAGTAGAAAAAGATTTTACAAATACATTATTGAGATTGCACAATCAATGTTGCTCTTTTGGCGCTTCTTTTTCCATGAAAAAGAAACGCATGTTTTGATTTTTTTTTTTAAAAGGAGAAACTATAAAAGGCATAGGATAAACATGAACTTTTGATTTCAAGGGTGTGTTCGCAACATTACCTCTGTTATGTTATGTTAAATAGGTTAGAAATGAAAGCATGTAGAAAAAAAAGTCAAGCACTGTGAAATTTAAGGAAGTACATAAATGGATATAAGAATATTAAGTAAATAGTTATGGAGGAAAGTGAAAAGTTTGAAACCATAAATATGATATAAATGGGTGTTAAAACTACTAAGGGATCGACAATTATAAGGGGAAGTAACACTGCTAATATCTTTAAGATAAATCGAAAAGAAAAAACAAACGACGGTAGTCGGTAAGTACGTAATATGTATTAGTCCCAAAAATAACTTGGAGATTGCCTTATGCCTCTTCCATAATGTTTTTTCAGTCTTTCTGTTCGTTGTTCTCTATAATGTTTTTTTATTTTTTAACAATGGCCTATCCCAATCTTTTCAAGATTTTGCTACAATTCTTTCAGCGAAAAAAATATATTTCTTCCTCCTAATAACTAAACTCTCTGAAAAAAAAAGAAGAAACTATCAAATTCCTTATCTAAAATCCTAATTCGGCACTTACAATTTAACTCTCTTTTACCTTGCACACGAATTTTAGAAATCTACATCGTTGTTGATGACGGAGCGAGGACTCAAAATCAATTCAATATCGAATCTGCACATTTACTATCTCAAAACACCCATCTTTGAGTGAGTATTCTACACAAGTAAATAAATTAAAAAGAAAAAGAGTTGCAAAGACTGAAGCTCTTCAATATTGCAAAAAGAAACTCACCAATCCTTGTCAAAAATCTATTTAACAGACACAATCTAAAACACTCGAAATCAACCAAAATCAATTATGCCATGGAAATGATTTTTTCAGGTTTTAGGTTATGTGTTTTTGTATAAGAGAAGAGATAATGGTACATGATGATTTATTGGTACACATATATATAATAGAGTAGTTATTATAGAGATTATGGATTATCAATCATGGAGTTAAAGAGAAGCATCGGTTGAGAGATACTATGGGGCTTGATGGCCTCTTAAAGACCACTTTTCAGTTTTTTATGGCTTCTTCAAGAGGACTTTTTCAATCTTTTTTTTTCAATTCATAAGCTTGAGAAGTGAAAGAAAAAATACAAAAAAACCAGAAAAAAGAAAACTATGAATGTTGGGTATAGGAAGGTGCCACATCACCTACGTTTACTATCTCAAAACACTCATCTTTGAGAGAGTATTCTACACAAGTAAATAAATAAAGAAGAAAAAGAGTTGCAAAGACTAAAGCTCTTCAAGATTGCAAAATAAACTCACCAATCCTTGTAAAAAATCCAATTTAATAGACACAATCTAAAGGACTCGAAATCAACCAAAATTAATTATGCCATGGAAATGGTTTTTTAAGGTTTTAAATTATGTGTGTTTTGTATATGAGAAGAGATAATGGTACATGATGATTTATTAGTACACATATATATAATGAAGTAGTAATTATAGAGAGTATGGATTGTAATTAATGGAGTTAAAGAGACACATCATTTGAGAGAAACTATGGGGCTTGATGGCCTTTTAAAGACCACTTTTCAGTTTATTTTTTGATGGCCTCTTCAAGAGGACTTTTTCAGTTTTTTTTTTTTTTTTTTTTTTAATTCATAAGTCTCAGAAGTTAAAGAAAAAAAATCAAAAAAAAATATATGAATACTGGGCATAGGAAAGTGCAACATCACCTTTCTTATTCGAAATTTAGAAATTTACATCGTTGTTGATGAAGGAGCAAGGACTCAAGATCAATTCAATATCGAATCTGCACTTTACTATCTCAAAACACCTATCTTTGAGAGAGTATTTTAAACAAGTAAATAAAGAAAACAGAAAAAGAGTTGCAAAGACGGAAGCTCTTCAAGATTGCAAAAAGAAACTCACCAATCCTTGTCAAAAATTTAATTTAACAGACATCTAAAAGACTTAAAATCAACCAAAATCAATTATGTCATGGAAATAGGTTTTAAAGGTTTAAAGTTATGTGTGTTTTGTATAGGAGACGAGATAATGGTACATGATGATTTATTGATACACATATATATAATGGAGTAGTTTATAGAGATTATGGATTGTAACTGATAGAGTTAAAGAGACGCATTAGTAGAGACAAACTATGGGACTTGATGCCTCTTAAAGACTACTTTTCAATTTATTTTTTGATGGCCTCTTCAAGAGAACTTTTTCAGTTTTTTTTTTAATTCATAAGTCTCAGAAGTCTACATCGTTGTTGATGAAGGAGCAAGGACTCAAAATCAATTCAATATCGAATCTGCACTTTACTATCTCAAAACACCTATCTTTGAGAGAGTATTCTAAACAAGTAAATAAAGAAAACAGAAAAAAAGTTGCAAAGACGGAAGCTCTTCAAGATTGCAAAAAGAAACTCACCAATCCTTGTCAAAAATTTAATTTAACAGACATCTAAAAGACTTAAAATCAACTAAAATCAATTATGCCATGGAAATAGATTTTAAAGGTTTTAAGTTATGTGTGCTTCGTATAGGAGACGAGATAATGGTACATGATGAGTTATTGATACACACACACACACATACACATATAATGGAGTAGTTTATAGAGATTATGGATTGTAACTGATGGAGTCAAAAAGACGTATTAGTTGAGAGAATCTATGGGGCTTGATGCCTCTTAAAGACCAATTTTCAATTTATTTTTTGATGGCCTCTTCAAGAGAACTTTTTCAGTTTTTTTTTTTAATTCATAAGTCTCAGAAGTGAAAGAAAAAATGCAAAAATAAAAATAAAAATCAGAAAATAAAAAAATATGAATGTTGAGCATAGGAAGGTGCCACATCACCTTTCTTATACAAATTTTGGAAATCTACATCGTTGTTGATGACAGAGCGAGGACTCAAAATCAATTCAATATCGAATCTGTACTTTTACTATCTCAAAATACCTATCTTTGAGAGAGTATTTTACACAAGTAAATAAAGAATAGAGAAAAAGAGTTACAAAGACTAAAGCTTATCAAGATTGCAAAAAGAAGCTCACTAATCCTTGTTAAAAATCCAATTTAACAGACACAATCTATAGGACTCGAAATCAACAAAAATCAATTATGCCATGGAAATAATTTTTTAAGATTTTAGATTGTGTGTGTTTTGTATAGGAGAAGACATAATGGTACATGATGATTTATTGGTACACATATATATAATGGAGTAGTTATTATAGAGATTATGGATCGTAACTGATGGAGTTAAAGAGACGCATCAGTTGAGAGAAATTATGGGGCTTGATGGTCTATTAAAGACCACTTTTCAGTTTATTTTTTGATGGCCTCTTCAAGAGGACTTTTTTGTTTTTGTTTTTTTCTTTAATTCATAAGCCTCAGAAGTGAAAGAAAAAAATACAAAAAAAAAATTTAGAAAATAGAAAAATATGAATGCCGGGCATAGGAAGGTGCGGTATCACCTTTCTTATACGAATTTTAAAAATCTACATCATTGTTGATGACGGAGCGAGGACTAAAAATCAATTCAATATTGAATCTGCACTTTACTATCTCAAAACACCCATATTTGAGAGAGAATTCTACACAAGTAAATAAAGAAAAAAGAAAAAGAGTTGCAAAGACTGAAGCTCTTCAAGATTGCAAAAAGAAACTCACCAATCCTTGTAAAAAATTCCATTTAACAGACACAATCTAAAGGACTCAAAATCAACAAAATCAATTATGCCATGGAAATGACTTTTTAAGGTTTTAGGTTATGTGTGTTTTGTATATGAGAAGAGATAATGGTACATCATGATTTATTGGTACACATATATATATAATGGAGTAGTTATTATAGAGATTATGGATTGTAACTGATGGAGTTAAAGAGACGCATCGGTCGAGAGAAACTATGGGGCTTGATGGCCTCTTAAAGACCACTTTTCAAAATTTTTATGGCCTTTTCAAGAGGACTTTTTTATTTTTTTATTTTTTAATTCATAAGCTTGAGAAGTAAAAAAAAAATACAAAAAAACCAGAAAAGAAAATATGAATGCTGGGTATAGGAAGGTGTATGGGACAAAATCCATCTTTAGTCGAAATGGTATTAGTAAAATATTCCTGGGATGCCACGCATCGAAGTAATCTAATTATCAGCGAAGGTCGCGGTCAAAGAGTCAACAAGACTGAAGGAGTAGTTATCGAGGCCGAGGTCGAGCACCCTTGATAGAGTTATAACGGCTAGTTTTAAGATAGGACACAAAAGAGAATATTCTAGCGCATATTCTCTACACTTGTACTGTTAGGGTTTTTAGGAACAGGTTCCCTATAAATAGAAAAAGATACAATGATAGGGGATATGTGATATTCATTTGTAAAAATACACTTTGACTTTAGAGAGAGAATCAGATTTCATTTCAAGCATACAAATATCACATTTTCACTAAGATTCCTGTCTACACTTTTTCACTAGATCCGAGAATAACTCAGATATTCAAAAGATTGCCCATCACTAATCATTGTCAGAAAGAACATCACCGATTCTATCCTTTCTTAGGTGATTCATTCCTTCTATTACTTAAATGCCATTTATTGCTATTCACCAATATTTAATGCTATATTATTGCCACTAATTTCTTGAATACTGATTGTATGTTGCCGATGTTATCAAGATATACCAACGTAGTATTTATTACATTTTTGAGAACTCCATCTTTGGGATATTATTGTTAGCCAACCTCATATATATAAATTTAATTAGTTGAACCAAGATCTATATTTTTTGGTCAAACAATTTAGAGCCGTCTGTGAGGATTTCTTAGTCAAATTTTGTGTTTCCTCTAGATCTACAATTAATACAAGTCACTAACGTCAAAAACCCCGAGATCTCCTTTCTTTGTGCATACAAGACCCTACATGGCAGGTAACCAAGGAGAAAGGACAAAAATAACAAGTGACTTCTCAACTAACCTCATGAATATCATTAACGAAAGATGTGAAACAATAGGTGAGGACACGACGCAGAACGCGTCTCCTAGGTAAGAGAGGTCACCTCCCCCACACTGCAACATAACAAAACCCAACGGAAAATGGGCCTTCATGTCTGCAGAAGAAGGGACGCCCCCACCGGTGAAAAAACTCCTCAAAGCATGGCTGACCGACACGCTAACAAGTGTCCTCAACAAATCCGCTCCAGGCATGACTGCAGAAGCCGCAAGAGCTTGCATGATACAACAAACAGACGAGCAGTGCAACAGATCAAACCCTCCAGCGACAGGTACAACTCATAATATTACTAACAATGCAGATGACATCGCCCTCGCTGCCATTCTAAAGAGGATGGAAGAAATGGAGAATGAAAACAGGGCACTCCGAGACCAGATGAAAGAACACCAAGAATGAGTTGACAAGATACCGGGCGCTCTTAAGCTACTTCCAAAAAGGGACGTTGGAAGGTTCATAGAGCAGCCGCACAACGATGACACAGCCCCATATGCCATACCAAAGACCTTCAAAATGCCGCCGTAAGGAATGACCGATCCTGAGGATCATGTGACTCACTATGTCACCGCCGTGAAAGGCAACGACCTCACCAAAGAACAAGTGTCCTCTATTTTGCTGAAGAAGTTTGGCGAAATCCTTACAGGAGGGGCATTAACATGGTATTCATAACTACCGGTCCGCTCCATAAAAACTTTTGAGAAAATGGACGATAAGTTCATAACCGCCCATGCTGGAGCCAAGAAGTCCGAAGCAAGAGTAAATGACATATTTGCTATTAAGAAGTCCTTGGGAGAGGGACTAAGGGACTTCTTCTCCCGGTTCAATAGAGTAAGGATGACTCTGCCGAACGTGTCCTAAGGGATAGCGATCACAACTTTCCAGAACGGGCTGAGTAGAGATGATTCAAGAGCAACTAGGAAACTGTTGAGTCGATTGATGAAGTATCCTCTAACCACTTGTGATGAAATCCATAATGCTTATTGTGCTGAGGTCCAAGAAAATGAGGACGACCTCAATGGACTAACTCACCAGCTAACCTCGGTACAAGCCGAATCCAGAAAAGAATGAAGAGACAGAACCATAAGAGATCACCCGGTTCCCCGACCTAACAGGGAACGACACCAACCATACGTCAGAACGGCCGCCACACCTCCCCCCGTTATGAAAAAGCTTCATCCCGGACAAGGAGAAGAACTCATCGCAACGAAAGAGGTATGTCCCCCTTATTATCTGCTCACATTTTATGCATGTCACTTATAGAAATAGTCTACGCTCTTGAGCAACTCAGAAAAAAGGTGAAGTAGCCGTAGAAGATGAGATCAGACCCGAGCATCATAAAATCTGACGCCCTCTGTGAGTTCTACCAAAAACGTGGGTACAAAATAGAAGATTGCATCGCCCTGAAATAAGAAGTCATAAACATGTTACGGCAAGGGCACCTCAAAGAGCTATTAAGCGATAAGGGGAGAACCAACTTCGCCAGAGGACGTGAACATCAAGGCCCGCCAAAGCCGCCATCGCCAGCTCGTACTATCAACATGATCATCGGCGGCGGCGGCGCCTCTATCAACGGCGTGAAGTTCACCACCACTCCAAGCTCAAGCAGTCTATCACCCATGAACGGTATGACAGACTCGAAGAAAGTATCATCTTCGATGAGTCAGATGCCGACGGTTTGACTTTTCCTCATAATGATGCCCTCGTTATTACTTTACGCATTTTAGATACCGATGTCAAACGCATCATGGTGGATGATGGAAGTGGTGCATGCATTATCCATCCCCGAGTCCCTACTCAAATGGGACTCGAGGATAAGATAGTGTTGTGTTGCATCACGCTTACCGGCTTGAATAATGCAGTTGAGCGGACATACAAGGAAATTACATTCCCCGTCTTAGCCGGTGGCGTGACTCTGGAGACGACATTCCACATCATAGACCAATCCACTGCGTACAATATTATAATGGGACGACCATGGATACATCCCATGAGAGCCATCCCCTCCAGCCTATACCAAGTAATTAAATTCCCAACACCATGGGGAATATTCA